TCTAATAGCACAATGCTAGAGCCGGATGCTGTCTGGTATCTCACTCACACGGGACAAATGAGAAATCTTGGGACCTGGCTCACTCATTTGGGGGAGGGAGAGAGTGGAGACTAAGAGGCAGTTCCATATAATGGTTAAGTGGGTGACCTCTGGACTCACACCTAAGTTTTCGTTTTGGCTCTGCCATTTTTAGCTGTATTACTTTGTATGCATCAAGAAACTTTCCCCTCTTAGGCCTCAATTTCTTTATCTGATTTAAAAAAATGATGATAATGTCTGTCTCCTGGAATGAAAACCAAGTGCCTGACACATGTAGTGTTAACAGTCAGGGTTTGTCACACACTTTGTGTTTATTTCTTGGAGCAAATATAGTGGCTATAAATATTTCAGCTTGAAGCGAGATGGTATAGTGTGGTGGAATTGCTTAGGGATGAAGAGCTTAATTAAAATCTAAGCTTCCCCACTTTGTTGCCCGTGTGACTTGGGAATGGTTGCTTACCTGCTCTGAGTCTCATGTGTCTGATCTCTGAAGAATTATACCTAGTCTGCCTGCGTTACCAGGGTGTTAGAACCAAGCGAGGTTTGTGCAGATACTTTGTTAAATTCTAGGGTGCCCTATGGGGAAGTTTCTTTTATAGTCGTAAAATCAGGAACATGATGTTCACAGATCAGTGAAGCTCAAATCCAGTTGATTGGCCTACCTAGAGTATCTTTTTTGTTGCACTTATTGTAGATCTCTGTGCATTGGTAGTAGAGAGGTTGGAGAACTGTGGTGAATTAGGCTAGTTTTGAATCCATGGTCTGTCTGTGAAGCTGTATGATCTTGGGTCATTAGTGTCACCTCTCCAAGCCTCAGTGCCCTGTTCATGACGCGGGAAGACTGAGAAGACTATCATCAGTGTGGATTGCTTTGAGAAAGAAAAGGAAGAATGCATGTAGAGGGCATAACGCAGTGACTGACATAAATGTTACCTATTATTGTCCTTTCCTTAATTTTCCTTTCTTTCTAGGCCTGTACCCATTTTTCATACATTAGGGAAATTTTGCCAAAATCTTGAAGTCTTTTCAGGCAGCATTTGGATGTCCCTCCTTGATAAGCGTCTGAAATTGTTCCCTAGTGTAATAGATAACACTTAAAAAAAAATTAGTTTGGCTCTCGGCTACACGCTGGGATGTCAGTGCCTCTGGGCTGATGAAACTCCAGATTGATAAGGAGTCATTTACAATGCTGCCTACCCTTACAGGAAGAGTATTTCTTCTAAAAATTTCGACTCTAGAGTGTTGACATAAAAGTGCTGAAATATTACATTTGCCCTAAGCGTGAGTTTAAAAGTATTTGTTCTCATAACTTCATCTTATTTTCAGGATCAGTTCAATAAATCTTTATTTATTGAATGCCTACGAGGCACTAGAAGTCATGATTGGTATGTTACAGATAATATTTCATTTCAACCTTGTGACAACCTTTTTGAAATAGGCATTATCTGTGTTTCACAGATGAAATATAGAGGCTCAGTGAACTAAAGTAACTAACTCGAGGCTTTATCGAAAGGGGTAGAGCTGCTGTTGCACACCCATCTGTGGAATATGGGGCCCATATTCTTCCCTCTACAAAAACTTGACAGGATGAAAGAGAGGCCACTGGGTCATGGGGTGAACAGCACTTAGTTAGGAAAAGATTGCAGGCTTTCCATTTAGTCCTAGCTTCTCCTTTCCTGAGGACAGCAGGATCCTCAGTGTAGTAACTTTACGTTTATGTTACCCGTCATATGGCTGGAAAGTATCGTTGGTTTACTGTCAAGCTGTCCTTTTATGTTGATTCTCACGACAGCCTAGTGAGTGGTAGGATAGGTGTTATTTTCCCTATTTTGTAACTGAGGAAACTGAGGCTGGAGAGGTGAAGTGAGTTGCCTGAAGTCACAAGGCTGCCAAGTACAGAGCCAGAGGCCCGGGCTCGAGTGCAGCGGTCCGTGCAGGTTGAGAGGGCAGACGTGCCTTGCAGAGCGCAGACCCGGCCTGGCAGACGCTATCTCAGTCGTGGTTTATTGTTGTCGTGGGTGGTACTGGCCCCTCTCAAAGAGTTTGTCTGTGGGTTCTCACGTCTTTCTTTGGACACACTTTCACTTGAAACCTGGGTTCAGGGTCGAGTGGTGGAGGACCTAGTCAAGTGTACGTATTTCACAACGGAACCAAGTGCTGTTGAGCAATCTGTTCTGTTGACAGTGATTGCCTTTTAGAGTCCTCTTCAGGTGCTTGACAAGTGGGCCCTCTAGCCTATCTGGTGCAAAACAAGTTGGGAGCCTTTGCTTTTGCTTAGGAGGGGAAAGGATGAGACAAACATAGAAAGTTACCTTCAGAATCGTAGCCAGAGAGCCTGGCCCAGTGGTGTCGTGGTTAAGTTCAGTGCGCTCCACTTCAGTGGCCTGAGTTCACAGGTTTGGACCCTAGGTGCAGGCCTACACCACTTGTCGGCCATGCCATGGTGGTGTCCCACTTAAAAAATAGGGGAAGACCAGCACAGGTGTTAGCTCAGGGCCAGTCTTCCTCAAGCAAAAAGATGAGGATTGGCAGTAAGTGTTAGCTCAGGGCCAATCTTCCTCACCAAAAAAATTAAAAAATTTAAAAAAGTAGCCAGAGAGTGGGTTTTTTTTTTTTTTTTTAATTTACATTCCTCTGACCTAAGTCCTGTGTCCTCCCTTCCTCCCTTCTGTCCATCCTCCTTCCTCACAGTGTGATCTGGGTTTTTGTGTTTTGGTAAAGATAGGGTGATAGAACTGAATGGAAACTAGAAAGAGGAGGGAGGGAAGGAGGGAGGGCACTGATATTTATTGAATGTTGAATACCTGCTGCGGTGGTGCTTTACATGTGTTCTCATTTAAAACCCCCAGCCACCATCTAAGGTGTATTTAAACAGTCAGCATTCTTCTACAGGTGAGAAAATAGACCCAGAGAAGCTAAATAGCTTGCCCAAGGCTGTATAGTTAGTAAGTTGCTGTTATTCACAAGCCTGTCTTTAGGGTTTTTTAAAACTTTACTGATAGGATTTTGTGGGGAGGCATATTTGGTAACATTGTCCAGCTTTTAACCAAACTAATTTGATTATGATAATTCATAGATCTGCTTTTCAATGACTTTTTCCTCTTATTTGGTAAATTTTCAAGTGGAGCAGTTTAAGAATTTTGGCTTTTCTTTTTTTAATCCATTCAAATAGTAATCTTGGGATTGCCCTATCTGGCAACATGCTGGAAAACTGTAAAATGCACTTTCTGAGGATATTTATATTTATATAACAATAATGTTAGTTACCACTTATTGTATTTGTGCTAGGCCTTTTACGTAAATTCTCGTATATTTTGTCCTCTCCCCAACCCTTTGGGGGTGGGCAAATTATTCTTATTTCACAAGGTGATCGCCATAGCTGGTGAGTAACAGAGCAGTAATTTGAGCCAGGTTGTAACTCCAGAACCCATGGACTCCTAGGCCGCCTTGGACTTTCTAAGAAGATGGATTGGTGTTGGAAGTTGGTTGTAATAGCAAAGTCATTTCGTATGTCTTGTGTTTCCTTCTGTACACTTCTTTTCTCTCCCTGCCGTGTGCATGCAAATTGCCCCAGCCGATGTTTGTTCTTGCTGCTCTGTAACATTCAGGCCTCAGAGTTTTTCTTCAGAGTTGTGAAGTTACACACTTAACCTGTGGTGACAAATTCTCTATGGCAACATTATGTGATTTCTGCAAATATTTCTGACTTCACTATAGACATAAGTGGAAGAGTGCATGAACTAGTCTACGACTTGGTAGGCGTATGTGAGAAAATGAAGGATCTGTTGGATCTTCCACCCTCTAGAAAACACAATCCATTAGTAGTTGTTACACATTATTTTTATTTGATCAATTTTGAAGTTTCCTTAAAGGCATACCAATAGAATGACTTGAAAATTTTACATGCAATTATTATTAACAGAAGTAAAAGTTATTCTTAAGCAAGGAAAAAATAGGCATGTTGAATAAACATTTCGGCTAAAATCAATATTTACCAAAGCTGAACATCACCAGCATAGAATGAAGTCGTGTGATACAAGAGTAAATATGAACTAGTATAAAATATAACTAATACTATATGGTTATTAAAATTTAATAGTTCGGTTTCAAAAGTTTGACCCTATAGTGGAAGAACGATAATTTCTCAGTGTTACCAGCTTCTAGATTGCTCTTGTTTTGGTAAACAGCACACTCGTTTTCTGCTGGCACATTAATGATATAACGAGTTGGGCTTCAGGAAGTTATAATTCAGGAAAGTTTTTCAGGAGTATGTTTCTAGAAGGATTTTGTACTTAGGATTCTTAATGAATCTCAAAAATGCTTTAGCTGCTGAAATTGGTAAGCATTGTAAAACATTTTGCGACAAGATTTTGTTCAAATGTTGGATCCAGATATACTTATAACTATAAGGAATTGTATTCTTAATAAATTCTGTTTTGACCTTCAATTATAAAGAATGTGTTTGGGATACCTCATTTTTTCTAACACATTTCTTCGTGGGTTTGTACCTGGATTGAGGATGATGTATCATAGTTGTTCTCCGTGATTTTGGCTGTTTTTCCCTTCTCGTAAAATTTGGAGGTGGCAGTGTTGACATTCAGCTTTTAATTTGTTTTTTATAAAATGTGAATAATTTACAAGTAGAATTTTCCCGTGAGAGACACATGGCCTAAATGGAATGAGATATATACAATTTTTAAAAATTCTATTTAATGTTTAATGTTGATGAATGGTAATTAACAAAAAGTTAATCAAATTTAGAGTTTTTATGTAATCTGATATGTTATTCTTCGTGTATCATTTAAATTTTTATAAACTTTGTTGGCTCAAGAAAGATAAAATGTTCTTCCTAAAGTTATCTAGCCAGTGCACTTTCTCTTAATATTCTTACTAACTGTTGACTTATGTCTCTATTAATTTAACTGCTTGAAAACTCTTAATTGTTTTTGTACATAGCATTAAGTTTTCACAATCACTAATTATTGTCTCATTTTACTCTTATAATAAATACACACTTATGCTTTCACTGCCGAATAGAATTTCTGCATAGAAAGCAAAAGCAGATCTGCCCTTTGGATTACGTAGAGCGTACTTACAGAAGACTCCTTATTCTAGCAGTTTTTCTTGTATTGGTGATGTTGCTTCCCTGGCGTGATGGTAACCTGTGCCATCACCTGGTCGCTGATCACATACGTGTTTTGTAGGCATCCAACTACTTGAGCTTAAAAATGGCCAAGCTGAACTTGGGTACACCCCTGTTGTTTATCATCTGTGAGCCTCAGTTTCCTCATCTATAAAATGGCCATTTTCCTCTCTTGCTTTTCACTCTGAGGGGCTACTTGGCCTCTCTGACTCAGTGGTTCCATGACTTCTGGAATACTTTGGCGCACTGATAGCCAAAGTTCTGTATTTTCTAGTCTTGCCTTACTGCACTGTCTTCCAGATCTTGAAAAAATAATTTTTAATATCCTACCATGATATTAGTTATATATGCATCAATATCTAACATACCAACATTCACAGGAGAAGTAAAAACAAAGTTAAATCAAGTTGATACTCGACTGACGTTTAAACATTTATTGATAGGATCAAGCTACTTGGTTGTTGATTCCTAACATGTACTTCATAGATCTGTTCGGATTAAATGACAACATGCCTGTAAAGTTCTTAGAAACGTCGCGCGTCCCTTTATTTGGAGAGCTAGGAAAGAAAATTCACTGGAAATAAGCTGATCACTCAACTTAGTGTGAATATGACATCTCTTTGCACCATCCAGTTTCTGACATTTGTTCCTGGTCAACCTCACCCCACAGCGGTAACGCTATCCCTTGAAATGGCAGGGCATAGAGCCCCATTTTCCTCTCAGATTTTTTTGGGAGTGAATGGTGGTTGGGTGACGCAAGGGTAGTTGCCTGACAGTTATCCCACAAGCAAGATCATCCCTGTGCTTTCTTTTTTTTGAATGTCTAATACTAAGAAACGCTCTTCTTTTTTGTTCATTAGAATTATACCAACCCTGTAGTATACCATATGGTCACAGTTTATTGAGCACGTTGGGAAGGCCAAATGCTATGCTAACACCTTACTTTCGCGTTCAGTTGATTGCACAACAAACCTACCGTTCCCATTTTACAGATGAGGAAATGGACCTGCAGAGAAACTTAGGTAACTGACCCAAGATCATACAGGGGTTCATGTCGGAGTAAGGAATCAAACCAGTGTCTCTGACTTCCCAGCTCTTGTTCTCACCACTGCCTCATAAAACTTTTCTGTTTTTAATTATTTAACGACATAGAATTTATAACAAATTGCTGACACACAGTAGTTGCTCAAATTGTGTGCCCTCTTTCCTTTGCACTATTCCCATGCTAGTTGTTAAGGGCAGAGTGGGAGTACTATGTCAGAAAAAAACAAAAGGAGGAGGAAGGAAAGAAGTGAAAAAAACTAACAGTGTCTGTGCTACAGTTTCTAGTGAATCTGCATGTGCATGAAAGCTCAACCCGTCTGGCAGCAAGTTCCCTACAAACACCTAAGATAGGAATCCTATGGATTTGGAGGTGGGTCAGCGACCCTCGCCCCTGCCCCTTCCCCACCTTTTTTGGCCTCTAGCGTCTCCCTTTCCGTTTCAGTGGAGCTGTGGTTGGTTTTATAGGACTCCTTGAGGTTTGGCACTGCTATGGTGATGTGGTTTCGTGAAGATGTTGCAGTAACCCTCAAATAAGGAACTGGGTGCTGCACTTCCTGTGGGAGGAGGACTCAGCAGACACGCCCTCCGGGAGGGCTGACCAGGCTGTTTCCTCTGCTCTTAAAGCTGTAGTGTGAAGCCAGGACTCAGGATGGGCTTGCGGTATTCGTGGTGCTTGGGCCACCGTAAGTGAGTATCAGCTTCCAGACTGATGCGCTGTTGATCTTTATTGTCTGTCCTCTGCCATGTGATCTGGCTTTTCGCTCTATCTCAACAAGACGGATCTTTGAACTTGCCCCTGAATGACTAGTATTGTTAGTACTGGCAAAATGTTTTCCTCTGCAGTTGATTCGACACGGTTTTACGCGTGTGTTAGCATCACACCTGAACTCTTTCTTGAATTGCAACATCCTAGACAAGGTGAGAAGGTGGAGGGCGATTGGTTGTTGATTGTTGCATAGTGGCTAGAACGCTGGGAAATTAGTTAAATTCAGTGTGGCATTATTGAATTTTGTTGTCCCACATACATAAAGCTTGAGTTCTGGGGCCAGCCATGGATGCTCAGTTTGGATGCTGTAATGCCATCTCTGGGAATGGTCTCTTACTTTGTTGAAAACTTGCTATGGATCCTGTAAAATTTGTGATAACAGAAAACCTAATGTATCTGATTACATTCTGATAAATATATCAGACTTACAGTTTGTATAATTTGAGTGTGGTCGTAGTTCGAGCCTCTTAGTGGGTCGGGTATCACTGTGGGTAGTGGAAAGAGGCACAGAAGTTTTGGAATTAGGTCTGGGTACCAATTCTGGCCTTTCACTTACTAGCTATGTACTTGGGCAAATTGTCCCTTAAGCCTCAGTTTCTTCACATGAAAAATGGAAATACACTGATACCTGCCTCAAAGTCGTTCTGAGGATTAAAAGTAAATAATAGTCATTTGGTACTATACTAATAGTTAATATTGTTAGCTTCGTTCTTTTGTTTTTTTCCTCTTTGGCTTTCTCCTCCTAATATGTCCTCACCCCCTCAGAATAACATCCTAGTTCCTACCATGATTCACAGAGCTCCCTGAGATCAGAACCCTGTACAACCCTCAGACCTCATTTTATAATATTCTCCTCATTCCTGTTGCTTTCTCTGCAGTTACCCTGACCCTAGCCATACTGGCCAGCTGGTTGCTGCCTCATGATCTTTGCACTTGCTGTACCCTTTGCCTGACATATTCTGTCCCAGAAACCACAGGCTGGCTCTTTTCACATGATCACATCAGTTGTCGTACCTTCTCACAGGTTTTCCTGACCACTTTTCTGAAGAAGCCACTATCTCTACTCCAAGGAATTTTCTGCCATAAGCATCCTGGTTTATTTTCTTTAGAGCATTTATCTTTAACTGTAATTATATCCCTCTGTTAACATAAGCTCTGGTATAGTAGGAACCTTGGCTGTCTTACTTATTCATTGCTGTATTTCAGCATCTAGCAACATAGTATATACTGCATGAATATTTGTGGACTGTTTGATTGAGTAAATGTATAACCTAAACCATTTTCTGGAAATGTGATATTTTAAGATATCTTGAAATATGAACTGAAGAACAATATAGAGAAGACCAGATTCCAGGTAGAATGCGTTCTTAATACAATGACATGCCATCTGTCATGTTATTATTTTCAACAGACTATTGGAGACATTTTATCAATAATGGAAAAATACCCATATGAACATTTGAAAAAGTATTCGTATAGAGTCTAATATATTTTCATTTACCGAGAAATAGTTTTTGTAATTGCCCCATGTATTACCCAGTTTCCTCTTATTTCATAGGATTTAGATTTGCATTTTAAGTTTATACAGAGTAAGTTGAAATTCTCTGTATACTTATGCTGCTAATGTCCTCTGAGGTCTTTGTATATGCATACCCTTTTAGAGAATATGTGCTACTATGAAAATGGCTTTGTTAAGATATGAGTGTTCAGTAGAATTTCTCTTAGTACCTTTTTTGATGTAATCTAAAGAAACATTTTGCTTTTAGCTTTTTGTTCAGCTCATTAATCCACGTAAGTTACTATACTAAATTGCTTGGGAATAGATTGCTTGAAATGAATAAAAAAATTTGTGTTTTAGCCCTCATTCATCTCTCTTTATTTTGACCTATTTTGTTTGTCTGACTGCTTCTAAATAAGATGAATCCATTTCAACAATTGAATTATGAAAAGTGCTGGATCAGGGCAATGGGTTGTATAAAAATACACAAGATCCTTAGAAGTGTATTGGACTTGTTCAGTATGTGTTCTTTTCCTAAATTTTAGTGACAGTAACCTGATAGAAAGTCAAGTGAACTTCATGCCTGAAGACAAGAGTCCTGCTCAGACCAGTGAGCAAAAATTTTTTCTTTTTCCTGAACTGGAAAAACTAGTTTAGAGAGTGGTGACTTTATTGTGATTAAAGTTATCTGTGTCTAGAAGTAGAACAAATCCTTTGTCTATAGAATCATGGAATTGTCATCATTGGGAGCTTGGTAATCAGCTGATTTTAAAGGTCACCATTACACTGGAGTTATGGATTCATATTTAGCTCTTAATCTTTCTGTCATACTGAGTTTCAAATGCTTTTCAGAAATAAGACAGGAAGAAATGGACCTGCATTCCTTTCCCTCTGTTGTGATTAGGTTATTTAAATTGTTAAACAGATTGGGTTGCTATTTGATTTTGTGTTGTGTGTTTGCTCCATGAGAAAGCTAAAGAAACTCCACGTTTTAAAGATGTGTTCTCTCTCTTAGTGGTTGATACTGGACTTTTCTACTTGATCTCTTTTCCATCAGCAGTTTGAAATAACTTGATCCAGTTCTGTTGGTCTTCCCAAGTTTCAGGTTACATTGTAAGCATTTCTCTCTCTTGCCCCAACCTAGAATTTGATTTCCATCAACAGTGATAGTGTTCTCCCCTACGGTAATTCTCAGCTGCCTGTGTTTCTCACTCTCATCGAGTAACATCAAGCACATGCAGAGGACAATAAATAATTACTAAGCCAGTAACTGTCATGAAATAGGCAGAGATCATACATTCTGTGAGAGATCATCCTGACTTTATATAAATATAAATTCAAGTAATATGTAAGTAGATATCTCTTATCATGAGCACTTAGGTGACCTAAGTCATCTGGGAAGTGAGAGGGTTGAAAAGGAAAAAAGGCCTCACTGAGCAGAAATTGGTCGATCTGGGCTGTTTCTTAGCTGAGGATCTATTGGAAGTGCCTAGTGCTCTTCTGGGGATGAATTAAATATAACTGTGCCAGACTCCAAGCTCAGACTTCTGTGTCGTAGTTTATCGCTACCTGTTCCCTTGAAATTGCTCTTGGTGATGCCTGCACCGTGCTCTGTCCTCTGACTTGGGCCAGAAGCAGGAAAGATAGCAAGGGGGGAGAATCAGCGTTTATTTTATCATACTCATCCATTTATATGGTTCTTATAATTCTTTTTGAGGTCCTCTAAAATATTTTGTTTATTATGAGTATTTAAACCAAATGTTGAATGTTAGTTTTATCGTTTAAAACATCATGAATTAGGGGCTGGCCCGGTAGTGTAGTGCTTAAGTTCACATGCTCTGCTTTGGCGGCCCAGGGCTTGCAGGTTTGTATCCAAGATGTGGACGTAGTGCCGCTTGTCAAGCCATGCTATGGTAGGTTCCCACATAAAATAGAGGAAGACTGGCACAGATGTTAGCTCAGTGACAGTCTTCCTCAAGCAAAAAGAGGAAGATTGGCAACAGATGTTAGCTCAGGGCCAGCCTTCCTCTCACACACATAAAAACAATGTCAGAAATTAACTAATGAATGCTCTAGTGAGCCTCATCTTTTACCTATTGATTTTGGCTTCTGTTAAATTACTTCAGTAGGATAAATTCCAAGGAATTGTATAATTAGATCAAAGGATATGATACTCAGAACTCCACTATTCGTTTCAGTCTTGCCAGCCTTCGCTATACTGTTCTTTTCTAAATGAACTGGCACCTGTAGCTTCCTTTAACGTGATGTTTTATAGCTTTGGCTGCACGTTAGAATCACATGGGCATTCTAATTAGACGTTAGAATCTCCTGGGGAGCTTTAAAAACTACTGATGCCTGAGGGCCACCTCTAGAGATTTTTGTTTAATTGATGTGAGGTGTGGTCTGGACATCAGGATTTTTAAAAGCTCTCCAGGTAATTCTAAAATGCAGTTAACATCAAGAATTCTGCGTTAGTGGGAAAATTAGACTTCACATTGCATCTGAATATGAATCCCTGAGAGTTATTGTTGAATCAGGTTTAAATCTGATTAAATAAGAGGAATCAACCACCAAATAGCTTGACCATAATAAATATTTAAATGTCAGTCTAGTATCAGCTTGATTTAACTTTCTTTTTACTTACCCTGTGAATGTTGGTATATTAGATATCGATGCGTATGTAACTAATATCATGGTACGATATTAAAAATTATTGTTTCAAGATCTGGAAAGCGGTGCAGTAAGGTGAGACTAGAAAATACAGAACTTTGGCTATCAGAGGGCCAAGGTATTCCAGAAGTCACGGAACCCCTGAGTAAGAGAGCCCAAGTACCCCCTCAGAGTGAGAAGCAAGAGAGAAAAACGACCATGGAAGCCACGACCATAAACTATACCCCACGTCCATAATGCACAGTAACCTAGAACTTGCATCCCCAAACTTAATCCCCCAAAGTGTGTGTGTTAAAAATATTTGGTTTGTTTTATTGGTCTGCGTTTTCTAGCGCAAAATCTGTGCGGTGGTTTAGGATGTCAGCCCCAATTCTGGCTCTCAGTAGGCAAGTTATTAAATTTCTCACAGCTTCAGTTTTCTCATCTGTAAATTGGGGTAATAATGTCTTCCTTCACAGGATAGTTAAAAGAAGAAATGAGGTGATATAGATAAAACACATAGCTCAATATTTGATACATTGTTAATTAATAAACTTAGTAATAAAGGGAGTGGTTATGGTGTGTACTCCTTGCATGTGGAAGGAAATACCAATTAACATGTAATGAGTACTTACTAGTAATATATACAGTAAGAATGTCTCTATCCATGTCTTTTTTAATTCTCAAAACAGTTCTGTAAGAAAGCTGCTATTGTTCCCACTTTTTTTTTTAAATCGATGAAAAAACTTTGGCTCAAGGAAGCTAAATAATTTG